ATATATATAGATGCTATTTTATTATGCTTACTGTAATTATCAGCTCTTCCAAGTTACCTGTCACCCAAAAAGGTTATCGATCCTTGCTCTCTCCTGTCTGATTGTGTTTTGATTACATTTTACATTGAAATTGTAAGTGGACAAAACGTGGTCATGATTGGCATCAGGTATGGAGGTTTTGCATAAGTTCCTTTTTCTTAAAGTTGTACCTGGTTCATAGAATGAGACTTGTGTAACGTCTTCTTTCGCAGATCATGAATATAAAACTTGAGGATTTTGCAGATACACAGGAAGAGGAGGATCCTCTAGGAGAACTTCCATTAATAAAGTCTGAACATGAGGCGAGATTCACATTTTTATGTACTTCTGAGTATTGTGTTTCTCTTGTCCATCTCCACATGAAGGAATTCCACTCTGGTGAATGGATTTTGAAATGTCCTTTGAATAATGGTGCCAGAGAACTGAATTTTCTTGGGCACTATTTATGAAATACCATTTTAATTTTGTGTTGCATCAGTTTTAAAACATATGAAATTAAACATTGACCGAACTGAGGAATATTTTAGACAGATATATCCCATAAATCTTATAAAATACACAGGAACTATGAATGTTTTAAGATTGTCTTTAATTTCTTATGTAACTTGATGCAAATAGTACTGATATATTAGAACAGTGTTGTCATTTTTGTTTAACTCTTTCCATATGGGAAGCTAATGTAGCGCGCATGGATGGGACAAGAGGTGTGCACCGGGTATTGGTTGGGAAGCCTGGGGGGAAGAGACCGCTGGGGAGACCTAGACATAGATGGGAGGATAATCTCAGGCGGGATCTATAGGAGATAGGAGTCGAAGGAGACTGGATTTCGTTGGCCCAGGACAGGGTCCGGTGTAGGGCTTTGGTTAATTCGGTGATGAACCTTCGGGTTCGGTAGGCCATTTAGTTAGTTAGTTAGTTAGTTAGTTATATGGGAAGCTAACATTAAGTACGTAATATTAAGCATTGATCAGGAGATAAATATGCAGCCATGGAGACTTTTAATTAAGGGACAATTTGTGTCATAACATTTTCAGCTTTATATATGACTTTGTTTCTATAGACCCAAATATTCTCCTTTGCTCTGTCGTCTTCACATATTTAATTACATCAGATATTTAAGAGGTTAACTTGACTTCATATATAAAGTTTGCCGGGAGAGAGGAATGTTAATGTGATGCTCTGCTGAGCATTTCTGTCCAAAACATACAACATATAATTTCATTATTGTTTACACTTTATTAGTTGTGTATACATGTAAGTATCGAATAAACCCTGTAACAAAATTTTTTCTGACCATTTAATATGTGCTTTACCTTCTGATTACTAAAGCCAAGACATAATCAGCTGAGCCATTGTCACTGCTTGGGCATGAACAAGCTAAGTAAACTGATGTCGATGTCTTTGATTTCATATTACATGGAGACTATATTATTAAAGTGATAATTGTATTAGAAATTTTTTTTCCATAGTAGTGGTTTTGAAAGTTATACGCAAGAAAATCTTTATGAAACAGGTTCTAATATTGCATATTGTTGTTTCTATGGACTTTGTCTATAGTTTGATATTCTAAAACAAAACCGCTATATTTTGAGAGCTCGTGAAAATAGCAATTCTGATAGGTCCCATAGAAAAGTCTTATTAGTCCCTTGGGATTACTCCCTCGTGTGGGACCAGAGCAGATGTAGTTCGGAGAACGTAGTGATCTTGTTTTAAAATATCAAATGATGGATCATGTCAAGAATCAAAACAGCAATTTTAAATAAACTCCACCATCTTCAGTCTCCTTTAATGAAGTTCTGCAGCTGCTATCAATTTGATTCAGTCCAATTGTATTGATAATTATTCTATTTCTTGCAGTGAGACAGCACAGTCATGACTCATAATGAGTATGGTTATTTTACAGGCCTCCATCAATTTACAGAAAGTGATACCTGATTCTTATAGTGGAACGTGTCTCGAGTCTTCTTATGATGACGATCAAATCATCGATATCAAAGTTGAGGGTGTGGTAGATGTGAAAGTGGAGGAGGATCCTTTTTTGATAACATCTCCAGTAATAAAGGCGGAGCATGAGGTGAGTTGTGTGAGCATTGTTAGATACATTGCATCTCCATTTGTCTGTCCACATGAAGCAAATCTGCTCTGCTGAATATGTTTTGAAGTGTGCGTTGGAAAAATTGTGCAAAGGATTTGGATTTTTGCTTACTGTTTGTGGAATGTAGCTTCTTTTTTGTGTTATATTTGTTTTAAGATGTGTGATATTAAATATTGAGAAATACAAGAAGTGTTTTAAACAGATGTAGAAAACACAACCCTTTGATAGTTTGTCCAGACGTTCCAGTATGTCTTCTTTTGATGCTGTTACTTCCCATTGAATTGTGTGCACAGTATTGAGGATCTGTGTATGTTTCTGGATTTTCTCCAGCTTTCTTTTTTCCCTTTTCATTCTTTCTTCCTTTAACCTTGTTGCGGCGTGTATCACTACAGTGGCATAGACCAGCCATTTCCATTAAGGACCTTTAACAGGATAATTGACGACCCTCTAAAAATGTAATATTAGTTGATTTGTTATGTGACTATGTTGGACACTGTTAATTTTCTGGAGTATTTTATTGCCTTCATTTTAAGACTGCATCTTTGTAAGACACACTTGATTTAATGGTAGGTATTTAGGACGGAAATGCTACATCAATTGTTAGACACCATCAAATGTAAAATGCATTCCTGTCTTTGGGTAATTCGTTGTCATTTACTGACAATTTTAGATTAGCTGCAGTTTGGATCAAATTAGGTCTTCTCCCTTAAACAGCAAACTTAGGTTTAAGTGCGTGTTACTGTTTACTACGAGGAAAAGATAAGCTGAATCTCTGGATTACTATCTGAAAGTTTTTCATCACAGGATTCATAATTAGGGTTATTACTGAATGATGAACAGATATACGCTCTCAGAGTCACCTGAAACTTCAGATATAAGAAATTTTAAATTAAGCTTGTTACCGTATCACTGGCAGGTGATTTTTAGATTTTATTTTTATGGGGCATGTTGCATGTATGGATGGGAAATGGTGTGTTGACCGGGTATTTTTCAGGAATCCTGAGGGGATGCCACCGTTGGGGACACCTAGAGAAGATGGGACAATAATTTCAAGTGGGATCTATGGGAGAAAGGAGTTGAAGGAGAATGGATTTTTTTGCCCAGGACAGTGACTGGTGTAGGGCTTTGGTTAATTCGGTGATGAATCTTAAGGTCCCATAAGCCATATTGTTTGTTATATAAAATTGTACCTACAAATTCTGTTGTTTTCTTTGTATAGTAACATCTCAAAATATATTACTTTGTTTGTGGATGTCAAATAGTATTCATTACGATTAAATGTTGCTGTAATGGAAAAAAAACTAAGATTTATTGTTTTTATAAAGGATATGAATTTTTGTCAAGTACATGATACATCACTCATTTATTGTGATATTGTTGAGCATAAAACTATCATTCATACAATCACACTGTTCCATTGTAAACTAGAATGTTATAACATCATCAGGGTTATGAGTAATTGCCCCGATGACGGAGGCAGCAAGCACCTCGGAAACATCAGTAAACTTCTGTCAGATTACGCAGAAGACGGCCATCTTCATACTAGATTCTTTGAGAAACTCAAATCTCAAGTAATGTGTCATGACGTATGTAATTCATTACTGTTACTGTCTTATGTCTAGTTGGTGTTAGTTTTTAAGTTATCTACTTTAGGTTATCTGTTGTGTTTAAATACTTGTGTTTTTATTTTGAGTAATGTGTGTGCCTTATGGTTTTGTAATTTTATGAGTTGATTTATTTTGAGTGGTGTGTGTTGTTTTGT